AAGTCCCCAAACCCCAGCCTTGCCCTTGCTCAATCAAGTGGAGGGTGGGTTGTCTCTGTCCTCCTACTGGCCCCAACTGTTCGTCCTACATTTATTCCAGGTTGCTATTTGCCATATGGTAGGAAGGGCTGGGAGCAGAATCAAGGGACACAGTTTCTCTGGCCTTTTCTCTGCTACCCCCTCCCCCAAAATATTATTTTTTATTTAGGTGAGATTCATAGAAAATTAATCTTTTTAAAGTGAACACTTCAGCTGCATTTATATATTCACGATGTAATGCAATCACCACCTCTACCTGGTTCCAAATATTTTCATCCCAAAAGGAAACTCAGTATCTATTTGCAGGCACTTTCCCATCTTCCTATCCTGATTCCTGCAACCACCAAACCTCTCTGGATTTACTTATTCTGGACATTTCAGATGAATGGAATCATACAGTATGTGACCTTTTGTGTCTTTTTTCACTTAGCATAATGTTTTCAAGGTTTATCCACACTGTAGTGCATATCAGCACGTTAGTCCTTTTTATGGCTAAATAATATTCCATTCTATGAATATGCCACAATTTTCTTATCCATTCATTTGTTGATGGACATTTGAGCTGTAATCTTATTTCTTTCAGGCTCCTATAACACATACCACAGACTGGTGGCTTATAAACAACAGAAATTTATTTCTCACAGTGCTGGAGGTTGAGAAGTCCCAGGTCAAGGTAGCAGCGTGGTTGTAGTCTGGAGATGGCCCTCCTCCTGGCCCATAGCCAGTGGCTTCTCACTATGTCTTCAGACGGTGGAAAGGGCTGGGAGCTCTGCAGAGTCCCCTTTATTATAACACTAATCCCATTCATGAGGGCTCTGCTCTCAGCACCTCCCAAAGGTCCCACCTCCTAATACCATCATCTTTGGGGGTTAGGATTTCAACATAGGAACTCTGGGAAGACATAACTCAGGCAATAGCAGGCTGCTTCCACCTCTGGCTATTATGAACAGTGCTGCTATGAACATGCTTGTACATGTATTTGTTTAAGCACTTGTCTTCAATTCTCTTGGACATGTACACTTAGGGGTGGACTTGCTCAGTCGTATGACAATCCGATGTCTAATTTTATGAAGAACTGCCCGAGTGTTTTCCACAGGGGCTGGACCCTTTTACATCCCCACCAGCGTGTATAAGTGCTCCGGTTTCTCCACATCCTCACCAACACTTTTTGTTTTCCATTGTTTTTTATTCCAGCCATCCTAGTGGGTACGAAATGGGACCGCATTGTGGTTTGGATTTGCATTTCCTTGATGACTAATCATGTTGAGCATTTTTTAATGTGCTTGTTGACCATTTGTATGTTTTCTTTGAAGAAAGGTCTATTAAAGTCCTTTGCTCATTTTTTTAATTAGGTTGTTGGTCTTTTTGTTGTCGAGTGGTAAGTGTTCTTTATGCATAGACCCTTATCAGAGATATGAGTTGCAAACATTTTCTCATTCTGCAGGTTATCTTCTCACTTTCTTAATAATGTCCTTTGATGTGAAGTTTTTAATTTTGATGAAATATGATTTATCTGTTTTTTGTTGTAGTTGCTTATACTTTTGGTGTCATATCCAAGAATCCTTTACCAATTCAAGGTCATGAAATTTATTCCTATGTTTTTCTAAGTGTATTATGGTTTTAGCTCTTATATTCAGGTTATTGATCCATTTTGAGTAAATTTTTATATATGGTCTGACTCTTTATATAAGAGTCCAACTTCATTCTTTTGCATGAGGGTATCCGATTGTCCCAGCACCGTTTGTTAAAGAGACTGTTCTTTCCTCCACTTAATGGTCTTGGCACCCTTGTCAAAATGGTCATAGATGTATGGGTGTTACCCTACAAAATATTTTAAACACATTGTGCTGGATAGAAAAATCCTAAGAACATTATCCTCTGGGTGTCTCTGTTGGGTGAAGCTCCCTTGATTGTCTACTAAGCTCAGCAAAGAATAAGGCCAGTCCTTGTCCTTGGGGACCCTAGGTCTGGTGGTAATGGAATCAGTAACATAGAGAGATCATCTCAATCACATGTGGAGATATCAAAGCGAAGGTGAGCATTGGGCACGGCAAGGTCCTAGGCAATAGACGCTCAGTCCATCCTGGGGGTTCAGGAAGGCTTCCAAGAGGAATCTCAAAAGAGCAGTAAATGTTGTCCAGGTAATAAAAGGTGTAAATGACAGTCCACGCACAGGGACTGTGTGAGCATGAACATCACCCAGCCAGACAGCCCCACCCTTAATGGGGCCTTCACTAGAGGCCTCCACAGAGCAAGTGAAGCAGGTACTTACTCTCCTAGACAGTGTGGGTGCCCCCTCACTCCCCTGGGTGCTCTCCAACCCAAACTCCCATATGCATCTATTCCTTCTGGTCTCTTTGCCCTGCATACTGAAGCCTGACCCATAGAACCGAAGTTGGTCACCACTGGTCCTGTCTCCATGCTTTCCCTTTTTGACTTTAAAAAAAAATCTCCAAACTGAATCTTAAATTAAAAGCATGGTCACCCTTGTGCTCTTCTCAGGATCTTGAGCTCCAGATAACAAAGAATCTCTCCATTTCTCATGTGGATAAGCTGCAACCAGGGGGGCTGCCCCTCTGCCATCCTCAAGACCCCAGCACGGGACACATTACCTCTGTCCCCCAAGATCACATCCACTTAACCTCTGAGTCCTTCGTTGTGCATCGGGGACTGGGAATAGCACTGGGGCCTCACAGTTCAGCAGTCAGAGGCATGCCTGCATTGTGGCCCTGGAAGAGGCGAGTCCATGGATGGCTCTTAGATTCCTCAACAGGCTATTTCAGGATGTGGATCCCATCCACCTTATACCCCAGCCCCTCTTACTGGGTCACTGGGAATTTGGCCTTTTGGGGAAGGCAGAGCATCAGTGCTGGGAAGGACTTTAGGGGTATCTGGTCCTGGGGCTCATGACCCAGGGAGTCCATGGATGGGCTTTGGGGGTCTGTGAACCTATGAACATTCAGACATAATTCTGTGTACTTTCCAAAGGAAAAGGGCCATCATAGCCTTCAACAGATTTTAAAGGGGTCATGACCCACCAGGTTAAGAGCCACTGGTTTTGTCTGAGCATAGCAGGGTGACTGGTTAGTGGCCAAGTTGCAACAGAAGCCCAGTAACTCCCAGAGCACTCACTATTTCCAGGGCTCACAGTGACACCAGGGAGATGCATTTGGGCAGAAAACCCACCAGACTTCTGCAATCTTGTCCTTCCTGAGGTTCANTGACCCAGTGACACCAGGGAGATGCATTTGGGCAGAAAACCCACCAGACTTCTGCAATCTTGTCCTTCCTGAGGTTCATTGCATGTGGGCACACACAGAAAAGGCCTCCTTAATACACGAAAGGCCCCATACCTGTTGCCCTGAGGGCTATAGGGGGCACATCTCGGCGCACACTGGTAACACAAGACAAATCAGAAAGCTTACTGACGGGCTGAATTCTCCCAGCCAAAGCTGAGGAACTTGGAAACTAAATCAGCCCCACCACCAACATCAGAAAATCTGAGACCTCCCACCTCTCACTCAAACAAGCACACAAAACCTGCACCCATACTGCAATGATGTGATGTAAGTTCTCTCTCCAGGAATCTATGTGCCTATCTTTCTGGTTATTTGATTAAAGTCCCCTCCTCCTCCTCCAAGAAGTCTTCCTTGCTTAGCTCTTCCATTCTGGTCACTTCTCCGCATTGCTGCACTGGGCTGCCCTTCCCTGATTTGTACGAGTGTGTGGTTTGCGTGTGTCCATCTTTCCTATCAGCCTGACCTCACCTCCGGAACAGGCTGCTCTGGTCTGCCTCTAGCCTCCCAAAAGGTTTATGCACCTGTGCGAGGTGGGACACATCATCATTAGGGGGTGGGCAATTTGGAGAGACAGACACACTGGCAGCAGTGCACCTCTGACATTACTCAAGGGCAGTTTATTGAATATAGAGCAGAAATTCAGAGTTCTGACTCACGCAAAGGAGGAACTGGGTGTTGCCATTCTTAGAAATATTTACACCAAGAGCCATGGCTTCTGGGCTGGGAGGTACCACCAGAAACAGATCAAGTTTCCCTCACGGAACACAGCTCATAGCAACAGGAATTGAGTCAGAAACTACTGCAGGACACAGCCCCAGAGAGAAGACCAAAGATAAATCACATACCCACAGTCCTTGACAAAGAGACAGTGTAACAATGCTGCCTTCATTAAAAGAATCATGAATTTGACATTCCCTTTGTTAAAGAGACAGTGTCACCCCATGGGAAGAACACAGACCCTGGGGTCAGCCCGATCTGGCTCGTCTCCTGACCTGGTGCTTAGTGAGTGACGGGGACAGGTTCTTCAGCCTCTCAGAGGACAGGGCTTCTCATCTGTCCCAAGGATGCTAATTGTGTCTTGCAGGAGGGTGAGAATTAAACGCAAAGCATGTAGGGAGCTTGGCACATAGTAGGTTCTTGACATGTGGTAGAAGCTATTACTGGTAATAAAGTTAGTGGGTGGGTGACACAGGTGGCAGAAGACCCCCAGTTCTCCTTCACTTGGCCTTGTGAATATGGGCACAGCTGGTGCCTGAGAGTAAACACATTTCTCCTGAATGGAGTGGTTCTGCAAAGACCTTTCCCTTCCCCTCGCCTCTCTCCCTGCTTCCCTCCCGCTCCCTCTCCCCACTCCCTCCTCTCCTCCCTCGGCAGGGAAGATCACAGCTTCCCAGGCCAAGAAGATACTTATAGCTTGCTCCCCTGAGACCCCTGCCAAGTGAAGGCAGCAAGGAAAACGAGAAGTCACAAAGTGCACATGGGACCTGAGGAAACAGGGAGGTGACAGTTCCAATCAGAACTTGACAGTAAGATAAGCCATGGTACAGATGGACGAGGGTCCTGGGACTTGGGGCGGAGGGTTGGGGTGGCGGTATCTTCAGGCAGGGCATCGAAGGGCATCTCTTGTTTGAGATGCTGCAGTGAGTGGGGCCGTGGGGCTCATCAAGTGGCTTTCCTGGCTGGGGTGCTGACTGGGGCGCTCTTGCCTGGAGAGTCCTTGGGGCCTGCCCCTCGTGCCGCTTTGGTCCTAGTGTGGCCGCTCCGGGTGCTGCCCGAGCTCCCCACCGCCCCGCTGGTGCCCAGCACGGGGCTGGCGGCAGGGCCCGGGTGGTAGCTGCTCGCACTGCTGATGACGGCTGAGGGGGAAGAGCCAAGAGCAGGGAAGGGGGCGGCGGAGTTGGTCAGCAAGCGAGCCAGCCACCACCTTAATCCCACAGCATCCCTCATCATCAAGAAACACCCCGAAGATGAATGGAGACCTATTGTGAGCCCAGTTCTGTAAAGTGAGGACCACACAGGACAGGCATGCTTCCTGCCCTCCTGGGGACTCTAGGACCACTTGGCTCCCAAGGCCATGTTCTCAACGCTTTCTCTCAATGACGGTGCCTCGGGGGGGAGCTAGAAAGGACATGGGGCGGGCATGACTTCAGTCACTGTTTCCATGGGACTAAAGGGGACTAGATTTCCTATGAAGCCAGAGAACCTTCACAAGAGTGTACCAGAAACTCCTAGCTGGGGGGAGACAATGAGTGGAGATGGCATCACCTTACCCTGGGGTCCCCACTTTCCCATCCAGCCAGAATCCCCACCAAACCCCTCTCTCAGGGATACTCACAGATGCTCACAGAGGACGGATTCTCACCAGACATCCTGAAGGACAGAGTTAGAGAAGGAGAGAACCTCAGGGACATGTCTAGATTCAGCTAAGCCTTGATGAGCTCCTGCTTCTATGTGTATATTATTTTAATTCATCCTTATAACAACCCATTAGATGCAGCTTATAATCCTCATTTTATAGATGACACAGGGACATTAAATGATTTACCAGAACCAAACAGTTAGTATGTGGCAAAGCCAGCAATTAAACCCAGGTCTCTCTGACCCCATTGGCTCTTTTCACAGCACCACCAGCCACCTGTGCTTCATGGCTCACGTCTGACCTCCCCTTGCAGGAAGCTTCCAAATGGCCCCTCATCCCAGGGCACAGTCACCCACAGCCCCTTATCCCTTGGCACCATGGCATTCCCCCACCTTTACGCCCTCACCTGCACTCCTCGCCCTCCAGCAGCTTGCGGTAGGTGGCGATCTCCATGTCCAGGGCCAGCTTCAGGCTCATGAGCTCCTGGTACTCCCGCAGCATGCGGGCCAGCTCCTCCTTGCCCTGGTGCAGGGCAGCCTCCAGCTCATCCAGCTTGGCCCGGGCATCCTTCAGGGCACAGTCACCCCTCTGCNTGGGCATCTTTGAGGGTGCTGTCCCCCCGCTGCTCGGCATTGGCAATGGCCGTCTCCAGATTGATGCACTGAAAGGCAAAGAAAAGGGAGATCATCAGAACACAAAATACTTTTTAGATCTTAAAGGTTAGTAGCATCAACCCCTTGGCTTTACAGATGAGGCCCAAAGTGAGCAAGTGCTAGCTGCAGAGCCAACACAAGAACCTGGGTCTCCCCTCTTTTCCTTGCAGATGAATATGTAAAGTTGTCTTGAAAAGTTGTCAGAGCAATTGCATTTCAGGAACTCAAGCACAGACTTCAATGTTTGAAAAGTTGTCTAACACCCACTGATGGCTGTAGGTTCCAAGTATGCCAGGTCCAAAGGAATTGCTCTGAGACACCAGGATGCCTCTAAGGATCCGCATGCCCAGTGCCCCTGGGATAGGGTTTCTGCCTGGAGGACATCTCCCAGCGGGAACCCTGCCTACCCTTTAGCACCAACAGTGAGTGCTTCTGGACTATCCCAGCACTCTGAGGATGGTCTGTCTAGATGGTCCCCAAGTCTGTCCTGAAATTAGACCCGTGGCCTCAGAAACTGGGCTCTGACGAACATCTGGAAGCCCTGTGATGACAGGTGCTAACAAAGGAGGAATAGTCCTCGTGGAGTCTGTGCGTCAGCCTTATGCAGAGTTGGGAAGCTGTCCCCATGTTCCCAGTGTTGCCTGGTGTGAAAGGCTGTGAGTGCAGGAAGGAGAGTGGGCTCTGATCTTTCAGTTTGGCAGGTCCATCATTAACAGAACTGACCTAGTTCTTTGGGGAGAACACAGGAAGGATTCTCCACCCCTTAAAATCATCTTCCTACTGATACAGTGTTTAAGGTCTGCTGCTTCCAGGTTAAGACAGGATCCCTCAGGTGAAATAGAAACGGTACTTCGGCACAGGGCAGGGGACCCAGAGGGCTTCACCTGCTGTCATTCTCACTCGGCTGTCAGAACCCTGCCCCACACTGAGGGGCCTTGGATGCACACCCCACGCACCCCACATGCATTGAGTGTCCAGTGGGAGGAAGAGGTGTGGGGCCTGGCCTCAGAGAGTCATCCCGATATGGCAAAGTTGCAAGTTCCATCCCCAGTCGGGGCACATACAAGAAACAACCAATGAATGCATAAATAAGTGGAACAACAAATCTCTCTCTCTCTCTCAAATCGATAAATAAATAAAATTTAAAAAAAATAACCAGCTGGGGATCATAGGCAAGTCACTTCCCCTCTCCTTATCTGAACTGTGGAGTCAGATGAAATAAGCTTGGGGCCCCTCTCAATTCTGAGCAGGGTGCCTGTTCTGACAGCAGCAGTACTGGGAGGGGGGGGGCAGGGAAGGACAATGGATGGCAGAGGGGCTCCTAAGCCCAGGTGGGGGAGATTTGCTTTTTACTAAAGAGTGGGCTCCAATTTCTCCATCGCAGAGGGTGAGATTGACCCTCATGTTCTCTGAGGTGTCGCTGCCCACCTGCTTCCTCACATTGGCTGTCTCACACCGGATCCTCTGCATGAGCCGGTTCAGCTCTGATATCTCTTTCTTGGTCTTCTTAAGGTCGTCACCATGCCGGCCGGCTGCCAGCTGCAACTCCTGGATCTGGTTTCCCAGAGAAAGAAAGTTGATGATGTGACAGGACCACTCCCCCACCCATTCCAGGTAAGGGAAGGGTCCTGAGCAAACACTTCCACCCCTGAATTGAGCCAGGGGAGGTGGCTCTGGAGCAGAAGGCGGTGGAGCCAGGACCTGGGCATCCTTCCAGCTGCTGGATGGTGGTTCTGACCAAGAAGTCCACCTGGTTCTCTAAGCAGAACCTGTTTGCTGGGCCTGCCCTCCTTCCTCATCACCCTGTCTGCAGTCTTTCCTGGGTTTGGTAAAGGAAAGAGGCAGTTCACATTTATTAAGCACTTCCAAAACATAAGAAGAGCACTGACCCTTTCCGCTCATTTAGTGCTTCTTCGTAGATGCATCTTTTAAAGGGCCAGGTCTGTTCACCAGTACCCACTGGGGGTACAGTTGGGAACAGGATAGGTGAGGTCCTCACAATGGACATCGTCCTGCAGTCCTTTCATATGGGTGGCAGAGGGCCAAGGAAGCTGAAGGCAGTGCATATCCTTGGGTGGTGGGATTTGGGGCTCAGGACTTGTAGCTCAAATCCTTCCCTCTCCCCTTGGCCAGCTTTTCAGAGAAGAGGGGCTGACATGGCCTAGATGGAGACAAGGGACCTATACCTTGCTGTTCTTGGGCTTTAAGGAATGTGAAAGGAGTGCTGGAACTCGCAGGAATGGGGTCCTGAGATCCCCAGGTAAAGGGTCTTCTCAGTGACACCCAAAAGGGTTTCACTCGAAAGCATAGCTCCTCTTACCCAAAAGGCAGTTAGAACTCTACTTTCCCCTCCTGGAGCTCCTCCCACACTGATCAGAAAAGAGCTCCTGGCCTTTGGTTCTCTTAGCAGCACCATGGTGATAGGCAAGAACAGGGCGCTTTATGAAAGACGGCAAAAGGAGAGCCAAGAAAAAAGTGGTTGATCTGTTTTCTAAGAAGAATTGGTGTGATGTGAAAGCACCACATGCGTTCAATATAAGGAATATTGGAAAAACTCTAGTCACGAGAACTCAAGGAACCAAAATTACATCTGATGGTCTCAAGGGTCGTGCTTTTGAAATGATCCTAGCTGATCTGCAAAATGATGAGGCTGCATTTAGAAAACTGAAGCTAATACTGAAGATGTTCAGGGCAAAACTGCCTGACTAACTTCCACGGCATGGATCTCACCCGTGACAAAATGTGCTCCATGGTCAATAGTTGGCAGACCATGGTTGAAGCTCATGTTGATGTCAAGACTACTGATGGGATTTGCTTCATCTGTTCTGTGTTGGTTTTACTAAAAAACGCAACAATCAGATTAGGAAGACCTGTTATGCTCAAATCATGACCCGAGAGGTGCAGAGAAAAGACTTGAAAGATGTGGTCAATAAATTGACTCCAGACAGCACTGGAAAAGACACAGAAAGGCTTGCCAATCTATTTCTCCACTCCATGAGGTCTGCTAGAAAAGACAAAATGCTCAAGCCCAAGTTTGAATTGGAAAAATTCGTGGAGCTTCATGGTGAAGGTAGCAGTTCTGGAAAAGCTGCCGGGGCTGAGACAGGTGCTAAAGTTGAACTGATACGGGCAGGGACAGGACAGCACTGCTCATGCGATGGGGGTTGTGTTGTCCTGTGGTGAGCCCCATCTCATCAGCTGTCCTGTCCCTGCCCCAAAGCCATGAAAAGACAGTTGAGCTGATAGATATGAGCCCTGCCCCGTCCAAGGATCTATTTAAAATTCAGACTTTTAATGGTAACAAATAAAAAATCCTATTTGTGATTTTAGAAAAAGAAAGACAGAAACAAAAAGAGCTCCTGGCTTCCTCTTGTTCGCCTCTGGCCTACCCGTAGCCACTGTCCTTTTATCTGTCACTTTTCTCCCGCCCCATGGCAACGAGCTCCACCCCCTGGTAATATCTTTGTTTTATAACAAGAACACCTCGCTTTTTTCCTCTACCAGAGGATTGCCTGTCTTTCTCTGTTGGATATATGCCACTTTTATGATTTATCTTTGATAATGGTCTCTGCCTAGGATTCTTTTTGGGCAGAATGTTGTTAAAGCATTGATTATAACAACTTTTTCACCAGTACATCTGCTAAGGTATCTCTCCAATTCCCTGTTGAAGGTGTCCCTTCCCAAGAAAGAAAGGGTTAGTGGAGAACGGAGGCCCCTGCCCCAGTACCCACCTTGCTCTGGTACAAAGCCTCGGCCTCGGCCTTGCTCTTCAGGGCAATCTTTTCATACTGGCCGCGGACCTCAGCAATGATGCTGTCCAAGTTCAGATCCCGATTGTTGTTCATGGACAGGATGACAGAGGTCTCACTGGCGTGAGTCTGAATCTGGGCCATCTCCTAAGTTGAGAAGTGAGGACAGAGTCAGGGTCGCCCAGTTTCCCTCCTGTGCCCATCAGTCTCTGGGCCTGCAGCCCCTGGTAGAATGGGCTAAAGTGGAGGCAGGAAGGGCCTGCTGGAGATCTATGTCTGTGGAGCCAAGGCAGAGCGCTCACAGTAGCAGGACACACTCTACACAGGCAACAGGCAGTGAAAGGCATTTCCTACAATTTACAGACTCAAGAATTTGTGCTTTAGTAGGACTTCATGGAGTCATTTTTTTCCTGCCTGTGAACAAGGTCACTATCGTGGCTCAGATGAAATTGTCTCCTATGTCTATGGTCTCTGAGGACCAGAATCCTACACTTTCGTGGTTTCCCAGTGCAGGGTTTTGCACTTTTCCATCAAAACAGCCTTCATACTGTTTATATAAATGCCTCCTATTGGCATCTCCTTGGATAAGCCAGGTGAAGTTCTCAGCTGGAAAGAGGCGGGATGGGGAGGGGGAGGAGTGTCCTCACCGCATCGTGCAGGCACTTGAGGAACTGGATGTCTTTCTCCAGAGAGTCCACTTTGGCTTGGAGTTCCACCTTGGCTGTGTAGGCTGCATCTGTATCCTGCCAAGAGGGACCCAGAGCCACAGGTCAATATACCCCCATTGCATCAGTCGTCCTGTCTCTGCCCCAAAGTCACCTGATTCCCTATGTTTTGTCCACAAAGGGAAGAATGTTGATAAATAAAATTACTCAGTATTGCTTTTCTCTCAGACTCACTGAATCTTTGGGAATAGGGAAAGGATGATGAAGCCTGCTCATTCTCTTATACCTGGAGAAAACAAAGCCCAGAGAGGTCAAGTGAGTTTCCTCAAGTCACACAGGAAGGCTGAGCTGAACTAGAGTTCCCTAATTCTCAGACCAGAATTCTCTCCTGTTTATCTCTGTCCATTTTCTGGGTGTATGCCCTGTCTCATCGACCTGCTGGTGACCAGAACTATGACTTCGTCCCCATTCAGGCACCAGCCCCTCCCCAGGATGCCTGGATGAAGTCCTGAGCAGACTTGGTTAGGATGTGGGTGTAAAAGAGACCAGAGTCCTTAGGCTTTTTTCTCCCTTACCTTTTTGAGCACCACAAACTCGTTCTCAGCTGCTGTACGCCGATTAATCTCCATCTCATACCTGTTGTCCAAGAAAGAAGATAGTGGAGGCCTCAGTCCCAACGGCCAAGTAACCTTGTCTTCCCTCTGATCAGGCAAGTGCTCAGGATATAGAGTTCCCACAAGATCTCCTAGTGGTGAGCACTGCAGAGGCTGAGTTACCTCATTTACATTCCACTTGCTGGACCTTAGAAAAATGTTCAGGTGCCTATTGGCTCCCCAAACTGGTCACTGAACCAGTCAGTGGACCAGTGAGCATAGGCACTTCTTCCTAGCAACCAGATAGGAACTCATCAGACAGGGTAGGTCTTTCCCCCACAACCAGAGAAGGGCTGTGAGTCCTGATTCTGGTGTTTGCTCCCTCCCCTCCTAAAGTGGCTCAAAAATTGGCTGAGCCCAGGAACCCCTGGGATCATGACACATGATCTTTGGTGGTTCCTGCTCACCTCTTCTTATAGTCCTCCATCATGTCCCGCATGCTCTTCAGCTCCGAGTCCAGCCTCACCCTGTCCCCGGACAGCGTCTCCAGCTGCTTCCGCAGGGTGCTGATGTAGCCCTCCAGCATGGGCTCCAGGTTCTTCCTGCAGTTGTTCAGGTCCAGCTGCTGCAGCAGCTCCCACTTGGTCTCCAGCACCTGGTTCTGCTGCTCCAGGAACCTCACCTAGAACCACCACAAACGCTGTCAGACCCCGTGGATATACACCATTGACTTTCCAGGTTATATAGATTTTTCCTAAAGTCATTTGACTCAAGTCCTGGCCCTCCTCATGGAATTCCATATAAACTAGATCCTTTGCAAGTGCTCATTCCATAGCCTTCTGGACAAAATTGATCACTAAAAAAGGTGAGTCCACAGCTTTCTTCTGTCACCTGAGCCAGCACCCAGGAGACGCTCTTCCTCATGTCCATACACATGTCTTCTGTACCATGAGCCCTTCCCTCTAAATAGTGCTGATTCTATTAACTCTCTGTCTTCTTTAAAGAGCTAGAGGTTCATCCACCATCCTCCAGAAACCCACCATTTCTCTCGCAAGGTTTCTAAATGCCTACTCTTTACCCAATTCCCCACCCTTCTCTGTAAAATCCCCAAAGAGAGCAACACATTCATTTATTTCTTTGTGCCACCTAGCTGACAGGTCTGTTCTTCCCTCTGTTATGATCAGGGAGCCCTTCTTGAGGTCCAGCTGCAACCTTTCCACTCACATTTCTACCCACTCCCAGGCAGCCTGGAATCCCTCCCACCTCACTGAACTGTCATATCTTCCTCCCGTGAGACCCACCTTGTCGATGAAGGAGGCGAACTTGTCGTTCAGCGCCTTGATCTGCTCCCGCTCCTGGGCGCGCACTTTCTGGATCTTGGGGTCCAGCTCCACATTGAGGGGGGCCAAGAGGCTCTTGTTGACAGTGACCTGGTGGATGCCCCCAGGTAGGCAGATGGATGGGCACACAGGCCCCAGGGCTGCACTGCCAAAGATGCTGCCAGCAAAGCCAGGGGCCCGGCCTCCACCATACCCAGAGCCAGGGCAGAAGCTGTAACCTCCAGTCCGAACACCACCACCAGGCACACTGAGGGAAACACACCGATCCCCTCTGAGGCTGTAGAGGCTCCGGCTGCCGAAGCTCGCCCCAGGTCCTTTGCCAGCCCCTCGGTGAGAAGCTGCACCACCCACAGCCTTCCTCAGTACCACTGCCGAGTAGCCACTGAAGCCACCCTTGTCACCACCAGACTTCATGCTCAGTTGCCGACTCATGGCAGGAAAGAAGGAGTTGTCAGAGGTGGAGAAGAACAGTCACCGACAGATAGAGAACACTGATGGGACACCCGGGCGCTGGCTCCTTTTATCCTGTTGAGCCCTGGACACCGGAAAAGGGCGTCTCTCCACTGTATCCTTTCCTCCTGCTAAAGGGCCAGGGGCCGTGGGCAATTTGTGGAACAGTGATAGCCAAGCCCTTTGCAGCAACAAAGTACCTCTGATAGCGAGAGGAATATGCTGCCCTTGCAGACTGGAGGGTCTAACTGGGCTTTTATCTAAGCTCCTAATTAGGGACCTAGAGAGTTATCCCCTCCAGAGATCTCCTACCTTCACTTTTCCAGCGCTGCCTCCTTCTAGCTTATCTATCAGCAAGGAGGCCTTATCCAAAACCTGGGGTTCCTCCCTAGAGGCCCCATCTCCCTATTATCTCGTCTTATAGAGGAGCTGGGGTGTTCATGCTAGAGAAGTGGACACTTGAAAAGGACATAATGGATGTCTTCAAAGATCTGGACCCAAGATTCAAGGGCCGCTCTCCAAGGACCACAGCTGTCCAGCAATGGGACAGATGCCAGGAAGTCAGTGGAGATGACTGGGGTGCTGTTTGGGGCTTTCTGTACTGGGCAGGGCCTAGGTAGTGGTGACCTTGATGTTACCTTTTCAGCAGTGAGAACCTTTTCAGGTAGCTGGTGGTTACTGCAGCTGAATTTTTTCTCCTGGACAAGGTGATCTACTCCATCCTAGGAGGTCAGACCATGGAGCAGCCTCAGGAGCTGGGATGTGAGCTCTTCTATCCCTGGGGATAGCATCTGCCCCGACACCCCCTGGGAAAACACTCTGCCCAGTGACCAAGACCCTGAGGCTCCCCCCTGGGTTCAGAGTGGGCTGTTCTGCCAATTTCCTGATCACTCCAAGAAGCCACTCAATCTTGGAACAGAAGAGACCAGCCCATTATAGCTCAGGTAGTTGTGGGAAGGTAGAGGGAGGGGCAAAAAGTGTTTAAAAATTATTTCAAAATCAAGCAGCTGGTAGCTGCCCTAACACAGGACTCTGATCACTTCTGTAACTAAAATGAGGAGCCTTGGCCCATTTGGATCAGCCAGAGGTAGTAGACAACTGCTCCACTGCTGGGGAGGGAAAGGGGGAGAGTGAGCTGGGCAGCAAGATGCACATAGGCCCGGCTGCCTTGGAGGGTTTTCCTTCCTCGTGTTCTCTCAGCCCAGAGGCAGCAGTGGAAGCTCCTTCTCCAGGGACCCTGCCTCCCAGCCTCCCTGGCAGGGCCTAGCCCTGGGGCATGAGAGGGCATAACTGAAGTGAGCTCTTGTGCTTTTCTAAACCAGGTTGTGTGTGAGCGCTGATGTCCCAAACATCAACAAATGATGACGGGAGTGAGTCCCTTGACTGGGGAGGACTAACATATGGCCCAGACCCCAGGGAGCCTGAAGACCAATGAGAGGACTCCACACAGAGAACTTAATCCTGGGTCAAAACTCCAGGATAACTGAAAAGCACCGTGGACAGGGGTTAGAGGTGTGCTGGAAGGAGGAACTGTTGTGATTGGGATTTTAGGGGCCTCCAGAAGGCCAGGTTTATACCCCCAACTGCACTCATCACAGGGCCGGCTCAGAGCAGGCACTCCCAGGCAGCGGGGACTGAAGTATGACCTGCAGTAGTAGGAGTAATGGTGGCAGCAATAAAGCCAGTTGTGGTCATAGTGACAGTAGTAACAAGAGTCAATGTTGATTTCTCACTTTGCACCTGCCAGATGTTGCCCCCAGAATGCACTGAGCCACCCACTTTCCAAAGTGATGGGCTGGGGAGACCCAGGACTGGGGCTAGGGTCCCTGCGCCTTTCTGTGCACATTCCGCACACGCTCAATGAGCGCCTCTCTGTGCCGGTCCTTTGCTGGAAGTTGGCAAGTAAGGGTCCAGTGACAGTGATAATGACGGTGGCAGTGGTAGTTGTGAAGCAGAAGGAGGGGGTTTCCAGACAACAGTGTTGTGACTGCGGCCACACACAGGTGCCTGCCCCTCCCAGCTGGTTCCTAGAGAATATAATTGCAGGGAATTTTCTTTGGCCTACACAGTAAGATCTCTGACAGTCCCAATTTTCACCTTGTTGGCTACCCTTTAATTAGTCATGACACTCCACACCCCAGTCTTTGAGTCCACTGGACTAATGAGTGTCCCAAGGCCTGAAGAGATTGGTTTATGCAGTAAGTATAAAATTGGGTGCCTACTGTGTGGACTACTCAGAGCTGGACCCTGAGGGAGACATCTAAGACCTTCTCCTTCCCCTCCAAAAATTGAAGTTGAACTAGAGGAGATAAAATTTAAGCCCATGAGAGTTGTTTTGCCGTTGTGATTGTTGTAGTTTAACTCCACATGCCTATACTCAATAATGCTTAAACGAGTGACTCAGATGAGCAGTTGTTATTAAAATTCTGATTCTTTTTAAAAATCAGAATAAAATACTTTGGGCTCTGTGAGGTGGAGATTGAGAACGACAAGGCAGACCAGACTGGGCAGGTAGGTGCACAGTGCATCCGAGAGGCAGTGAGCGGCCCAGTGGACTGGAAGGGAAGGTTTAACTCGGGGAGCAGAGTATATGGGAGAAAGATGGTGGCTGAGACAGTTCCCTCCTCCCTGCAGACAGTGTAGAGTCATACGAGGTTTGGGAGGGGAAGAAACATCACTGAGCCAGTGCTTTAGGTTAAAGAACAAGCTCTGTGTTACACAAGGGGAGCTGTGAGAGACAGGACCTCAAAAGGCCCCCAAAGGAGCCGAGTCCATTTGTGCCATGATTTCCTGCCGTCTTAGTTAAGTATATTCCTGGGGATGGGGGGAGTGTAAAATCCCTTTCCTCAGAGCATACTACACTGGAGGGAAATAGAAATCAGTGCCATGAGTAATCGGAAGTGGACATGTCCAAAGTCTTGTCTGCTTGGTTGGAGAATGGATCCTAAGGCCCTTTCTCTCTAGCCCATTGGTTTTTTGACTAATCTCGGGCATAGTCGAGGGAACCAGCATTCTATAGATCAAGGTAATTAATGGAAAGAGGAAGAAGCTTGAAGGATTTCTGAGCTAACTTTGGGGTGACAAGATTTGGGGATAAACTGCGGTACTTTAGAATTAGAAAAGACTTGGAACTGAGCTATCTGATCATTTGAAAATGATTTCAGTGTGGAAACCTAATGCTATCTGCCTGTCTGAAGCAGTTTGAAAGGGGCCTGTTTTTCCACCCTTGTCCAAAGTTAGCTGTCTCAAACAATAGATTCATCTGCTCTTCTCCCATTCCATCCCCTCCCCTTCCTTCCCAGCACCCTTCACTTTCCTAGCATGAAATTCTCTGGATCCTGGCATGTTGAGTCCCACAGCAAATGGGACCCAAGTGTTAGGGCAGAGCCCATGGCTACAGTCTGGGGCCCTACATTGACCAACTGTCCCAGTTTCCCAGGACTGGTGGCTTGTCCAGTGCCACAACCTGGACAGTTCTGGAAAACCTGGGTGGTCAATCACCCTAACACCACCCACTGTATCGCCGAGTACAGAGTATCAGACTCCCCAGTAGTTTGTAGGGGTCATTGAAGTTACATCTCTCCAGGTATGTGTAACTTAATATTCAAGCAATTCACTGGTCTCTCCCCATCCCTACTAGTCCCTCTTCCCCCTGCCCCACCCCTACACACGTTAACACGAATCCTCCAGATTATTAAGAAAACAGGTAGCAATCACATCAATTTAAATTCAATTTCACTCTCATTTATCAAACGCAGGAGCTGTGCTGGGTGAAACCCCAGACAGACAGTCAGCATGCTCCGAACATTAGCGCAGAGGACATTGTGCATGAGCCTCTGCTTGTTCCAACGTATCAGAGGATGTTTAGTGACCTGCCACCTGGCGGTGGTTCCCTCACACAGCTAGTCATAGAACTTTCTAGCAGCATTCCTTGGCGTCTCTCCACAAACACCTCTCTGAGTCTAGGCCTTCCTGTCAACTCCTCAGCATTAGCGTCTNTATGTACCCAAGTGTTAGGGCAGAGCCCATGGCTACAGTCTGGGGCCCTACATTGACCAACTGTCCCAGTTTCCCAGGACTGGTGGCTTGTCCAGTGCCACAACCTGGACAGTTCTGGAAAACCTGGGTGGTCAATCACCCTAACACCACCCACTGTATCGCCGAGTACAGAGTATCAGACTCCCCAGTAGTTTGTAGGGGTCATTGAAGTTACATCTCTCCAGGTATGTGTAACTTAATATTCAAGCAATTCACTGGTCTCTCCCCATCCCTACTAGTCCCTCTTCCCCCTGCCCCACCCCTACACACGTTAACACGAATCCTCCAGATTATTAAGAAAACAGGTAGCAATCACATCAATTTAAATTCAATTTCACTCTCATTTATCAAACGCAGGAGCTGTGCTGGGTGAAACCCCAGACAGACAGTCAGCATGCTCCGAACATTAGCGCAGAGGACATTGTGCATGAGCCTCTGCTTGTTCCAACGTATCAGAGGATGTTTAGTGACCTGCCACCTGGCGGTGGTTCCCTCACACAGCTAGTCATAGAACTTTCTAGCAGCATTCCTTGGCGTCTCTCCACAAACACCTCTCTGAGTCTAGGCCTTCCTGTCAACTCCTCAGCATTAGCGTCTCCTCCCTTCCATCTGCCGCCTCCTTCAGGAGGGGCATGTCCCCTCCTTCCTGCCTCAAGAGAGGAGTTTGACAGCTGTGTAACCCAGCGGCTGCAGGGCCCCAGGGCACCTTTGTGCCGGTGGCAAAGATGCAGCCCTTAGCCTGAGTGCAGAGCTGAATTGCAGGCCCCACTCGCCCCTCACCGCAGGGCCCTCGGGACAGTCTGGGTGGCTGGCCTGAATCTCAAGGATAGGCTCACTTTATACCGGTGAGCTGGAGCCTTTGGCCAGACTCCTACTGCTCTCAAGGGGCGGGCCATCAGTCTACTGGCTCCCCCACCCCCAAGCTCTCCCCTACTCCTCCAGGG